AAGATGTGGAAAAAAGGAATAAAAAACCCATGAAAGTAAAAAAGCAATGCAAAATAAAAAGGAACTAAAGAAAAAAAGAGAATGCAAATGAAAAAACAGAGACATAGATTCATGGTTTTTATACCAATCCAATGTAGTTTTAAAGGGATCACATAAATAGAATTTTGAAACTGGTTTCACTACCTATTTATTTATTTATTTATTTCTGAGCAGGGACTTTACTAATGACTTAGAATGTCTTCTATAGTCTCCTAAAAATAATTTGGCAATATAATAGTGGTAAGGAACAACACCTAAGACCACGAGTTCTAGTAGTACTAGTATGACTCTACCACAAGATGATGGTACATGCACAACATGAGGCTCAGTGTCTACCTAGAATTTGCAAGCTAATAGTTGTTTTTTTATTCGTAGCCAGTCTGTTTACACAAAACAGTTTGGGTTTGACTTCCTACAGTCGACAGGAACTTTTGGAAATCAGCTTTATTTATCACAACAGTGACATTTTAGACATTCATCTCATCCCTGCTGAGATTTCCAAGATATCAGAGGCTATGCACTCTTCCTGGCTGGGCGGAAGTGCTCAAAGGCAGTGTCGAGATAGTAAACAAAGACCAGGGAGGTGTGGAGGTTTGAGAGCTAAGCTGGGGCTAAAGCCGCATTGGCTCTCTTTACCTAGCATTTTTCTTCGTAAAGTACGCTCTCTGGCAAATAAGATGGATGAACTTCGACTTCGTATTGCTACCAACAAAGGATTCATGGATTGTGACATCATCATTTTTACGGAAACATGGTTGAATAGTGGCATTCCCGATAGCACTATTAAATTAGCTGGTTGCTATACTCTATGGCTGGACAGAACAGTGGAAGGCTCCAGTAAGATTAGAGTTGGGGGTTTATGCATTTATGTGCACAAACTCTGCTATTGTTGAGAAACATTGCTCTGCTAACGTGGAATTCCTCATGATCAAGTGTAGACCTTTTTGCCTACCAAAGGAGTTCACTTCTTTAATAATAACGGCTGCATATATCCCAGTGGATGCTAATGCCAAGCTAGCAATGAAAGAACTTTATGCAGCTATTAGCAAACAATTAGCATTGCATCCTGAGGCTGCTTTCATTGTTGGGGGTGATTTTAATCACTCTAATTTGAGAACAGTACTCGCTAAATTTCATCAGAGTATTTTATGTCATACAAGAGGGAATAAAACATTGAATCAGGTCTACACTAATGTTGAAGATGCATACAGAGTTTTCTGTCTCCCCCACCTGGGACAGTCTGATCACCTCCCATTGTTCCTACTCCCTAAATACACACTGCTCATCCAACATGTGAACTCCTCTGTGACTACAATCCAAGTTTGGCCAGAAGAATCAGATAATATACTGAGGACCGATTTCAGCACACGGACTGGAGTATATTTGCCTCTCAAGCTACCTCTGACTCTCACATGGACATTGATAAATATATCTCCTCCATTTTGGATCATACTAACTTCACAATCAACAGTGTTACAACTGAAAAACAGATCATCATATATCTTAATCAGAAGCCATGGATGAATAGGGAGGTCTGTCTCTTGTTTAAGACTTGAGGCGTTGCCTTCAGATCCGGTGACAGACAGGCCTATAGTGCGTCTAGGGCCAATATGAGAAGGGGTATTAAGACAGCAATGCGTAGCTATAAGCGTATTGAGGATCATTTTGCTAACTCCAGTCCTCAATGCATGTGGCAGGGCATCAAAAATATTGCCGACTACAAGCCTGTCCATTTTATTTCCTCATTTGCTAATGTCTTATTTCTTGATGAGCAAGCTAAATGATTTTTATGCTCACTTTGAACGAGACAACCAGCAGATAGTCACCAAGATCAGACTTACAGCCCCTCACACTCTCTACTACTGAAGTCTGCGTTGTTCTGAGCCGGATCAACACACGTAAAGCTGTGGGCCCTGATGGCATTTCAGGACGTGTACTTAGGGCTTGTGCTGAACAGTTGTCTGTGGTTTTGACTGACATTTTCAATCTGTCTCTTTCCCAAGCAACTGTACCAACTTGCTTCAAGACCACTTCCATCGTGCTGGTGCCTAAACACTCGAAGCCAGAGTGTCTGAATGACTACTGCCCTATAGCACTTACATCTACAATCATGAAATGCTTCAAGCAGCTAGTCCTGGCACATCTCAAAACTTACCTCCCAACTACACTGGACCCTTACCAATTTGCCTACAGCAAGACCAGGAGTACTGAGGATGCTGTTTCTACAGCATTACACACCACTTTAACACACCTGGACAATAAGAATACCTATGCTAGAATGCTGTTTGTTGACTTCAGCGTTTAATACAGTCATTCCCTCCAGGCTGATCACTAAACTTGGTGACCTTGGCATTAACACTACTCTTTGTAATTGGATACTGGACTTTTTGACAAACAGACCACAACATGTCAAGTTGAATAACTCCACTTCATCTACTATCACACTGAGTACTGGCGTACCCCAAGGCTGTATGCTGAGCCTCTTCCTGTTCTCTCTCTTCACCTATGACTGCAGGCCTGCGTATGGCTCTAACACCATTATCAAGATCGCAGATGATACTACGGTGATTGGACTCATCAACGATGACGGCGATTCAGAGTACAGAGAGGAGGTGCAGTGCCTAGCTACGTGTTCCGCTGACAATAACGTTACTTAATACTAACAAGACCAAAGAGCTCATTGTGGACTTCAGGAAAAAGAATGGTCACACACACACTCCTATATACATCAACGGGAGAATGGTAGAACGTGTCACCAGCTTCAAGTTCCTGGGGATCCACCTCTCTGAGGACTTGTCCTGGCAGATTAACACCACTAGTCTGATTAAGAAAGCTCACCAGCGCCTCTTCTTCCTGAGATTACTGAGGAAGAATCACCTCTCCTCAGCTATTCTGACTAATTTCTACCGCTGCAGGGTTGAGAGCATCTTAACTAGCTTTATCTCAGTTTGGTATGGAAATTGCACTATAAAAGAAAAAAAGGCATTACAGAGGGTGGTAAAAACCGCCCAACGCATTATAGGGATTCCACTTCCTGCCATTGTGGACATTCAGAGGAAACAATGTCTGCGTAAAGCCCACCGCATCGTTAAGGACCCTTTCCATCCAGCCCACAAACTGTTTACTCTTCTTCCATCTGGGAGGAGGTCCAGGTGCCTGCAGTCTAAGACCAGCAGGCTAGGGAACAGCTTTTACCACACAGCGGTTTCCTTGCTGAACTCCTCAGTTTGTTTGTCCCCAAACATATGCTGATGCTTCCCTTGATAATATATGATGTATTTTGTATAATTCTCTGTGCATTTGTATTTATATTCAATATGTCCATAAACATTTTGTACAGTTGTATATGTTCATATATGTGCAGTCACACTTATTTTGTGTGCTTGTGTACATACATTTTGTTGTGTTTTCCATTGACATATTCATAGATGCCTTGCATATTTGTATACATATATTTATATTTTACTGTTGTTTTGCACTTCTGGTTGGATACTAACTACATTTTGTTGCCTGTATCCATGGCAATGACAATAAAGTTGAATCTAATCTAATCTCATCTAATGACCACACTTAGACCATACTGCATACAGTTTTGGTCACTACACTATAAAAAAAATGTTGAGGTTCTAGAAAAAGTGCAGAGAAGAGCAATCAAGATGATTAGGGGACTGGAGGCTAAAAGAACATTTGCTGGAACTGGGCTTGGTTAGTCTAGTGAAGAAAAGGACAAGGGAAGACATGGTATGTTCCAATATTTGGGGGGCTGCCACAGAGAGGAAAGAGTCAAGCTATTTTCCAAAGCACCTGAAGGCCAGACAAGGAATAATGGATGGAAACTGATCAAGGGGAGATTCAACCTGGAAATAAGGAGAAATTTTTTAACAGTGAGAACAATTAACCAATGGAACAGCTTGCCTTCAGAAGTTGTGGGAGTTTCATCACTGGAAGCTTTCAAGAAGAGATTGGGCTGCCATCTCTCAGACATTTGGTGGATGGTTGGACTAGATGGACTCCAAGGTCCCTTCTAACTCTGTTATTCTATGGTTCACTTTGTAGACTTGATGACACTAAAGTAACAGACTAATCAAGGAAAAGAACAAGAGTTTCTAAACTTTGAAAATGCACTCTAACATGTGGGTTAGATTAATTGCAACATGTAACCTATTTCAGGAATAAGTCAATTATGACATCACATGACTTTTCTGAGACCTTGCCTAGCTTCTCATTTATCTAAAAGGTTCAAGAGGTGCATATCCAGCCAAACACAAAAATAAAACTAGAACTTCTGCTTTCATAGCATTGGAATACCATTATGAGTTTCTTTGGAATTAATGTTCCAATATTTGTGATCTTGGTCAAAAGTCTGATTCAAATGTTTTGCAACTACTTCAACTTCCCCCCATCTGTATGGTGCTCATCTATTGTGAGCAATGGGGATGATGGCCAGAGAACCAGACATTCCATTCCATTATAATGCAATTCCATGGAAGCATCAAGGGATCAGTATCAGATTCAAATTAATATAACATTTGAAGAAGGAAAACTGCACATCAGAGATACATAAAGGATTAGCAAGACATTGACGGAAAAAGTATCCCAGAGGCTTGCTCAATGGAGAATGGAAGTCTGATTCTCATTTTGACTTTGGTCACAAGAGGTCACTGTTTCCTAAGGAAACCCTGTAAGTGAAACTGAAAATGCAGAGCCCCTCCCTTAAAGGGACCGACATTCCTGCCAGCCAGATCCACAAGGGAAATATCAAACAACAGAGAAAGCTCAACAAGCCAGGATTCAACCTATGAACGCATTGCCAGTATGGCTGAGCTAGATGGGCTCTGCTCCTGACACCTTTAAGTCAAGATATTTGGAGAAAAAGAGAAGAGCTTGCTGGTGTTGTGTTTGCAATGCTTACCTGGCCGAAGGGGCTGCTGCAGCTGCTTCTCCTCTACACCGTCTGGAAAATGGGGAGCGGCCAGCTCCATTATTCTGTGCTAGAGGAATCCCAGCATGGTGCCTTTGTGGGCCGCATCGCCCAGGATCTGGGGCTGGAGGTGAGCGAGCTGGTGCCTCGGATGTTCCGGATGCTGTCCAAAGGAGAGGAGGGCTATTTTGAGGTAAACCTGCAGAATGGGATCTTGTTTGTAAATTCCCGGATAGACAGGGAGGAGCTTTGTGTCAAGAATGCAGACTGTATTATTCATCTGGAGGTGATTGTGGAGAAACCTCTGAGGTTCTTTCATGTGGAGGTTGAAATCAAAGACATTAATGACAATGCTCCTATCTTCTCTACCAGGGAACAGATTCTGAGCATAGCAGAATTTGTAACATTAGTTACACGATTTCCATTAGAAGGAGCCTCTGATACAGATATTGGTACTAATGCTCTATTGACTTACAAGCTCAGTCCAAACAAACATTTTGTTCTGGATTCAGGAAATGATGAAGTTGATAGCAAATCTGTAGTACTCCTATTGAAGGTGCCACTTGACAGAGAGGAGAGCCCTGTGCATCATTTAGTATTGACAGCCACTGATGGAGGTGAACCAAAACTCACAGGAACTGTTCAGCTCGTCATCAATGTGCTGGATGTGAATGACAACCCTCCTGTGTTTAATCAATCTATTTATAGGGTAAAGTTGCTAGAAAACACCGCCAGTGGGTCATTAGTTATTAATCTGAATGCAACAGATTTAGATGAAGGGCTTAATGGGGAAATCTCTTATTTTTTTAGTAATAGCCTAAATCTAGACGTAACAAAGCTATTTAGTATCAATTCTGATACAGGTGAAATCACAGTGATTGGAAAAGCGGACTATGAAGAAAGTAATTTTCATGAACTTCCAATTCTGGCAAAAGATAAAGGTAGTTTTCCATTATCAGGGCACTGTAAAGTTATCATTGAGGTTTTGGACATGAATGACAACATTCCAGAATTATCTGTGAATTCTCTCTCTGTGCCATTGCCAGAGGATTCCCCTCCAGGGACTGTGGTAGCCATCATGAGGGCTTCTGACAGGGATTCTGGCAACAATGGACAAATAAACTGTTTCCTCAGGCCCACTGGAGTCCCCTTCCAACTCGAGTCCACATTCAAGAACTACTACTCCCTAATTGTTGCTGCAATCCTAGATCGAGAGCAGGTGGCTGAATACAGGATGGTTGTGACAGTGGAAGATCAAGGTGTTCCACCACTGTCTTCCAGTCTCACCCTCTTAGTGCCTATCAGCGATATAAATGACAATGCTCCAGCTTTCCCACAGCCCTCCTACACAGTCTTTGTGAAGGAGAACAATCCCCCTGGTGCTCACATCTTCACAGTATCTGCCACAGACCCAGACATCGCTGAGAATGCTCTGATCACCTACTGGATAGATGAGAACCTCTGGCCATTGTCAAGCTACATCTCTGTACATTCGGAGAGTGGAAAGCTCTATGCTTTGCAGTCCTTGGACTATGAGGAGTTGAAACTGCTGGAGTTCCAGGTGAGAGCCAAGGATGCCGGAATGCCTTCCTTATGTGGCAATGCGACTGTTCAAGTCTTTGTGATGGATGAGAATGACAATGCACCTTCTGTATCAAGGTCATCAGAAGAGAACCTGATTCTTCTAGCGGTCCCTGTGATTCCTGGGCATATTGTAGGGAAGATCCATGCCTTGGATGCAGATTCTGGATACAATGCATGGCTAAGCTATGAACTGCTTGAAGAAAGCAATGGTCCTTGGACTGTAGGGCAGTTTAGTGGTGAGGTGAGTACCAAATATTCTTGGGATGAGTCAGAAGGAAGCAAAATCCAGAGTGTGTTGGTTCTTGTGAAGGATCATGGGATACCTCAACTCTCAGCTACAGCTACTCTGAGTGTGTCATTGGTGACAAGTTTCCAGACCATGAAAACAGCTGTTCACTTCCCCAAGTCTGGAGAGAGCTTCATGCCTCCGGTGAACTCCATGAACATCTATTTGATCATTGCCATCTGCTCTGTTTCCAGCCTGTTCCTGCTGGCCATTTTTGTTTATATGGCTCTACGATGTCACTCCAAGGCAAAGGAATCCATGGTGTATGGCCCTGGCATGGCCACCCTTGTCTGTGCTAGTGAAGTAGGCAGCTGGTCCTATTCCAATCGCCACAGCCACATCCTGGCAGGTGTGAGCACAGAGGCTGGTGCCAAGAGTGACCTTATGATTTTCAGTCCCAATATTCCTGTTTCTACAGATAACGTGGACCATAGAAATCGGAGTGAACTGCTTCCAGACACATCCAAAGAGGTAAGTTATCCTGCTTGAAATTCTTTCAACTTCTTATTTTCCTGCTGCCAATTTTAAATCAGTGTTTCAAAAATTTTATCATATATACTTTCTATAGAAATTCATTGCTGAAAATCTGCTAATCTGTTTTCTAACTTATGTAATTCTTTTACATATGTCTACATGTTTATATATTTTTTTGCTACCAAAAAAGGCACCAGGTCTTATTTTCGGGAGATGTCACCTACTGACTCACTTGCGCGCTTAACCCCTGGCCTCCTTTTTGCTGTCAGAGGCCTTCATGATCTTGTTCTGTGGCCGGCAAGGCTTTCATGAAGGCCTCTGCAGCTGATAACAGAGCTCCAGATCAATCCAGAGCTTTGTTATTAGCTATAGAGGCCTTCAGGAAAGCCTTGCCAAGCCTTGCCAGCTGCAGAAGAAATTGGGCTGGCAAGGCAGGTGTCGGAGTGTTGTGAGGCCTGGCTACAACTGCCCACAGGTAAGTAGTAAGGCAGCTCCACCACCCTTACCCCCACCCAACTTAATTTTGACCCGTCCACTCTGGAGCGGGCAGGATCTTAATTAGGGCTTATTTTGGAGGCTAGGCTTATATTGGGTACACATGTAAAAATCAAGCTAGGACTTAATTTCAGGGTAGGTCATATTTTTGGGGAAACAGGTTAGTAGTCTTTCTGATTAAATATTTTTAAAATGGGAATGGCCAAAAATAGATCTTATTTTTTTTTACAATCAGGAAATTTGTCTTCTCTTCTACTCTAGTATAAAGAAAGATGTTCATTATTTGCCTGATTCTTTAATTTGTAACTGATCTATAAAGCTCTAAAATGGATACTAGTGCAGTATTGATTTTCCTTTTGTCGATACACTGATTCTTTAATGAATGGAATAGAAATTTTCAATTATATTTTTTTTAAAATATTGTGCTTTTTAAGCATAGTTTTCTTTTTAAAAATATTTAAAACATTTGTTATTGCATGTTTTTTTTAAATCTCATTCTCATATGTTGTTGTTACCTTTAAAAACAAAATTTCTAACACAGGTAGGCCTTACCTGGGACCACCAGTTAATCACTCATTTAGCAACCATTCAAAGTTATGATTTCACTGAATGAGGAGACTTAACCACTGATCCGCGTAATTGCGGCTATTGTAGCATCTCTGATGTGATCTGTGACATGATCACATGGCTTACACTTTGCAACAGTCTCTCAGTTATGATGACTGCAATATCCTGAGATCATAGGTTTACTCTTTGTGGTCTTCAGTGTTGGCTTCTGACAAAGTCACTGGGAAAGCTTGCAGGAAGTTGCTAATGGCAATCATGTGACATTGTGCTTAATGACATGATGGGATTTGCTCAACAGCAGCAAGTAGAACAGTTGCAACTCCTGTCGTAGGTTGATGTGAATATATGACATTGTCCTTTCTGATCATCCTGCTTAGTGATGGAGTTTTTATCTCAATTACCACTGTTACAGCAAGGACTACCAATATTGTAAAGGTCCTCACTGACTGAAAATAATTGATTCATCAACAATACTGATATTATATCTGTTGGCCTCATATCTGAGGAATAAAAATCATTCAAGATTACATTGCATAGGAAATCAATTTTTCTTCAATGTGTTTAATGCCTTGTTAAAATAAATGTTTCTTATATGGGTTATTTAACAGAATAACAGAGTTGGCAGAGGCCTTGAAGATGTGAATTATGATACTGGATAAAAATTTTGAGATAGACATTTGAGGTTCATCCATCAGAATTCCTCCAATAGCTTTACACACTATTCTTGTATCAAGCCTTTGCCCCCTCAAGTCCTCTGTACTGCCTCATGCTAGGAAGTTGCTCCTGGGAGAAGAAGTGAAGAACACCAGTAGTTTATTCCAAGGATATAAATCCCAGCTAGGTCACCAAGGTGTGAAGTTAATCCCATTTGCCCAGCTAAAGTAAGCAGGCTCCCATATGGGGCAACAGTGATATAGGAAGATGCAGGAGGCTGATAATTACTTTAGTGATAAGGACAAAGGCCTAATTACATACTGTGCAGGAATATATCATTCTAGTATTTTACCAAAACAGCCATGTAGATATAAAGTATAAAGTGATAGACAATACAATGCCAGATGCCTTAAACTGAATAACATTCAACAGGCTACTGAGGAAGAGCTGAGGATTTTTTAGAACATATTAATGGTGTTCATAACATAACTAGATTAAAGTTTTCAGGATGTCCAATTGGTGATGTTGCTATGCAGGAAAAAAAATCTGTAGTTGTAAAGACAAAATTATAGCGAGAACATGAAGCATGGGAGTCATGAACATGGGATAGCTTGAGATAGTGAAAGATGAAATTAATCAACTATACATTGACATCTTAGGAATAGATAATTGAAATAGGCCAGAACTGGACAATTTCAGTTAGAGCAGGGATCCTCAAACTATGGCCTGCAGGCTGTATACGGACCACTGACACAATCTATCCGGCCCATGCAGTAGTGGGGTTAAGCCCCACCCCTTGCTTCCCACCCACTCCCTGCATGGCTGGCTTTTCCCACCGCCCTCATTGCCCCTCCCACAGCCATAGGCCTAATGTATACCTTGCAGAATGCAGCTGCACTTCTGTGTACTTCTGCTCACCGCTGCTTGTAAAGGTAAGGCTGAAGGGTGCGGGTTGGTGGATGAGCACAGGAGGGTGAATTGGCAGAGGGGTGATACTGGCAGCCGGAGGACTGGTGCGTGCAGGGAGAGAGGGGAGCATGTGGGGGGACACCTTCCTGGGTGTTTCCAGAAGCTGCCCTGCCTAAGTGCAGAGGGAGGAAAGCATGCAAGATACTTTGGCTTTGGAGCCCTTTCTGAGTGTTTTCAGAAGCCGCCCTGCCTAAGCAACGGTTTGCTCTCATCTCCCAGAGAGAAAGAGAAAGACTTGTTGATTGTAAGCTCCTTGGGGCTGAAAAGAATTGCTGCAAAATGTGAGTTTCCTGAGTTTTATGGAGCCTGAAGCTGCTGTTGTAATGAAGTTAGGCAAGTGGCAAGACTGCTAAATTGGCCATGCCCACCCAGTCACATGCCCACATAGCCACACCTCCCAGCCACACCCACCCATATAGCCACACCCACATGCCCATATAGCCATACCCACCCAGCTGGTCCACCCCCCCAACAGTCTGAAGGATCGTGAATTGGCCCTGTTTAAAATGTTTGAGGACCCCTAAGTTAGAAGATCATACTATTTACTGCTCAGGACATGAAAAATGAGGAAGGAATGATGTCACTTTCACAATCAGAAAGGTTAATGTAAAAAAAAATACTTGGATACAGAGCAGTCACAATAACTGAATAATTAGACTTTGTGGAGAACCTTTTAATATGACAATTATCCAAGTTTATGCTGAAGGTACTAATGCAGAAGAAGAGGAGGTTGATAAGTTTCCTGGTCAGGTTCGGAATGAAACAAAACAGTTGTAGTAAGATGTGTTGCCTATGGTTGGGGATTGGAATGCTATAATGGGAAATAATTAAGGACGGCAATGTAATGGACTATGTGGCATAGGAAATCAAAATGATGCAGGAAAGCCATTTTTCAATTTCTGCCAATAGAAATATTTCTTCTTGGATAACATAAGTTTTCTAGCAGTTAAAGTGCCTTTATACATGAATATCATTCCATGGAGAACACAGAATTAAAATTGTAAGTTCCATGTAAAATTCAAGTTCCAAGTAAGAAGGAAGTCAACCAGTTTCCATAATATTATCATAACCTACCATTCTCAAGAAGAATATCTGGAATCACTTCGAAAACCTCATTAATAATGAAGCAGATGAACTGTTTGAATGAAATCAAAGAAGTGTTTAAGGATGAATGTGAAAAGAGAGTGCCAAGGACCAAGAAATATGAGAAAATATGGATATCAAAACTCTGGAAATTGCCAAAAAGGGAAGAGAAGTCAAGGGCGAGAAAAACAAAGGTGTCAGGAAAGAACTTTACAAAGAATTTCAACAAGCTATTAAAAGACACAAGCCGTATTACAATGTCTGCAAATATATTGAAGATGGAAAAACAAGAAAGTCTTCCAAAAGTTTTTCAAACTCAAAAGGAAGTTCTAACATTGAATTGGTATACTAAAAGATATTAATGAACAGTGAGAAATGGATTCATAGCAGATCAAAGATTGAAAGAATCTCTTGAAATTCTTGCAAAAGAAATGTCTACATCCAAGTACTTAGAAGATATTCTTTACTTCTAAGGATCTCTAGTACTAGAAGATGTAGTTAGATCAACAATCTGTTCATTACAAATTTGGAAGGCTACAGCAATATTTGAAGAGTCTACAGAAATATAGCAAGCAACAGAAGATGAATCTCTAAAGGTTCTAATGAAACTATGGCAGGAACTCTGAAGAATGACACAATGGCCAAGAGGTGGGAAGAGAGCAGTCCATTTATCAATGTCAAAGAAGAGAGACTTAATAGAGTGGGCAAACCATCACACAAAATCATTTAATTCACATGTTAGGAAAATCATGCTTAAACAAGTCTAATTTGACCCAGATTAGAATGTTAAATGTAAAAGGAGATGATAGAGGTTGATATGGCTTTAGAAAAGGCTGAAGAACAAGAGATATTATTGCTAATACACTCTGGATAAATGAGAGAGCAGAAAATACCAAAAAGAAGGCAACACGTTCTTCATTGAATATAGAAAAGCCTTCAGTTATGTTTAGCTGGGAAACTTGCTTAAGAAAATGGGAATCCTCATATGAAGCCTGTAGGTCAGGAAGCCACAGTCTGGAAGGAGCATTGGTGAAACACACTCATTCCAGATTAGCAAAGAAGCGAGACAAACCCGTATATTCTACTCTTGTTTTGTTAATCTATAGACTGAGTGTATGTTATTGGAACCAGACTGAAAGAACATGAATGCAGTTTTAAAACTGGAGGAAGAAACATCAATAACCTGCATTATGCTGATGATACTTCTTTGACAACTGAACAGCTGAATGACCTGAAAACTCTGGCAATGAAAATCATATTGAAAAAATTGGTCTACAGTTAAATATAAAGAAGACCATACTAATGACATGTACATTAACCAAGCTTGAAATTGATAATGAAAATTTCAACATTGGGAGTAGCTTTAACCTTTTAGGACTGACTATTAACAAAAAGGAATATTCAGTGAAAAAAAAACCCATTACAATAGTATGTGGGAATAATCTGAGGAGACAGATAAAAGAGCTATAGATTAGACAAAGGTCAGACGAACACCAGTTGAGTTCCCAGAAGCAATAGGGAAATGTCTCAGAAGGGACCCCCTATAGTTTCTTGGAATGTAAAGAAAAGGGGGGATAGATTGTACTTTTAGGCTTGAAAAAGATATGTCATTCTTATAAGGTTATCCAGATAAGAAGCATTCCCAGAAGTACTAGCTCTAATTTTATCATTAGGATACATTAACAGAATTTTGGAATTGTTGCAAGAAACTTAGTGACTCGTGACTTAGAATGTCTTCTAGAATCATCTAAATATCATTTTAGTAATATAATAGTGGTAAGAAATAACTATTTTTTTATACTCAACGATAGGTAGGTGATGCTAAAAAAGTGCTGGAACAGGCTAATCAATGGAAAGGACAAAAAATTACTACCCTTTGGAAACATAAGTAGTGCAGAAAATTAATTATCTATTTCACCATTATATATAATTGCATCAGGTAAAACTGCTTCTTGTTCTAAAATTTGTCACATTCCTAAGGTTTATCAGATACTTGCCTTTGTGAAATATTATTTACAGGATAATTGCAACAAATGGGAATGTACCTCTAAATTTAGAAAAACACATTCAGTTGAAACAAATCCTATTTCTAATGGAAGATTGAACCATGCACCTGTCATTTCTGTCTTAATATGAAGAATATATTTCAGAAATAAAGTCAATTAAGACATCATATGAGTTTGACAACTAGCCCGTATCATTTACCGAAAAGGTTCAAGAGCTGCATGTCCAGCTATGACTCAGAAACAAAACTAGAAAAGTAATTCTGGTCACAGCCCTTGAAGGAAAAAGTATCAGACACCCAATAAAGAATGGAAGTCCATTTCTCATTTTGATTTTAGGTCACTAGAGGTCGCTGTTTCCTAAGGAAACCCTGCAAGTGAAACTGAAAATGCAGAGCCCCTCCCTTAAAGGGACCGACATTCCTGCCAGCCAGATCCACAAGGGAAATATTGAACAACAGAGAAAGCTCAACAAGCCAGGATTCAACCTATGAACGCATTGCCAGTATGGCTGAGCTAGATGGGCTACGCTCCTGACACCTTTAAAGCAAGATATTGAGAGAAAAAGAAAAGAGCTTGCTGGTGTTATGCCCATGTCTGCAATGCTTACCTGGCTGAAGGGGCTGCTGCAGCTGCTTCTGCTCCACACCGCCTGGAAAATGGGGAGCGGCCAGCTCCATTATTCTGTGCTGGAGGAATCCCAGCATGGTGCCTTTGTGGGCCGCATCGCTCAGGATCTGGGGTTGGAGGTGAGCGAGCTGGTGCCTCGGATGTTCCGGATGCTGTTCAAAGGAGAGGAGGACTATTTTGAGGTAAACCTGCAGAATGGGATCTTGTTTGTAAATTCCCGGATAGACAGGGAGGAGCTGTGTGCCAGGAATGCAGACTGTATTGTTCATCTGGAGGTGATTGTGGAGAAACCTCTGAGGTTCTTCCATGTGGAGGTTGAAATCAAAGACATTAATGACAATGCTCCCATCTTCTCTGCCAGGGAACAGATCCTGAGCATGGCTGAACTCATAACATCTGGTACCCGATTCCCATTACAGAGAGCATCTGATGCAGATATTGGTACTAACGCTCTGTTAACCCACAGGCTCAGCCCTAACAAACATTTTGTTCTGGATTCAGGAAATGATGAAGATGAGACTAAATCTGTAGTACTTCTATTGAAGGTTCCGCTTGACAGAGAGGAGAGCCCTGTGCATCATTTAGTATTGACAGCCACTGATGGGGGTGAACCAAAACTCACAGGAACTGTTCAGCTCGTCATCAATGTGCTGGATGTGAATGACAACCCTCCTGTGTTTAACCAATCTGTTTATAGGGTAAAGTTGCTAGAAAATACAGCTAGTGGGTCATTAGTTATTAATCTGAATGCTACAGACTTAGATGATGGGATCAATAGGGAAATGTCTTATTTTTTTACGGATAGCTTAGCTCTTCATGTCACAAAGATGTTTGATATAAATTCTGATTCTGGGGAAATCAGAGTGATTGGGAAATTGGATTATGAAGAAAATAAGTTCTATGAACTTCCAATTGTAGCAGAAGATAAAGGCAGTTCTCCATTATCAGGGCACTGTAAAGTTATCATTGAAGTGTTGGACATGAATGACAACATTCCAGAATTATCTGTGAATTCTCTCTCTGTGCCATTGCCAGAGGATTCCCCTCCAGGGACTGTGGTAGCCATCATGAGGGCTTCTGACAGGGATTCTGGCAACAATGGAGAAATAAGCTGTTTCCTCTGGCCCATTGGAGTCCCCTTCCAACTTGAGTCCACATTCAAGAACTACTATTCCCTAATTGTTGGTGCAATCCTAGATCGAGAGCAGGTGGCTAAATACAGGATGGTTGTGACAGTGGAAGATCAAGGTGTTCCACCCCTGTCTTCCAGTCTCACCCTCTTAGTGCCTATCAGCGACATAAATGACAATGCTCCGGCTTTCCCACAGCCCTCCTACACAGTCTTTGTGAAGGAGAACAATCCCCCTGGTGCTCATATCTTCACAGTATCTGCCTCGGATCCAGACGTAGCTGAGAATGCTCTGATCACCTACTGGATAGATGAGAACCTCTGGCCATTGTCAAGCTACATCTCTGTACATTCGGAGAGTGGAAAGCTCTATGCTTTGCAGTCCTTGGACTATGAGGAGTTGAAACTGCTGGAGTTCCAGGTGAGAGCCAAGGATGCCGGAATGCCCTCCTTGTGTGGAAATGTGACAGTTCAAGTCTTTGTGATGGATGAGAATGACAATGCCCCTGCTGTGTCAGGATCATCAGAAGTGAACCTGATTCTTCTAGCGGTCCCTGTGATTCCTGGGCATATTGTAGGCAAGATCCATGCATTGGATGCAGATTCTGGATATAATGCATGGCTAAGATATGAACTAGTTGAAGAAAGTAGTGGTCTTTGGACTGTGGGGCAATATAGTGGTGAGGTGAGTACCAAATATTCTCTGGATGAGTCAGAAGGAAGCAAAATCCAGAGTGTGTTGGTTCTTGTGAAGGATCATGGGAAGCCTCAGCTCTCAGCCACAGCTACTTTGAGTGTGTCATTGTTGACAAGTATCCAGGGCATCAAAAACTATAATCAACATTCAATTTCACGAGACAACTTCATGCCCTTGGTGAACTCAATTAATGTCTATCTGATCATTGCCATCTGCTCTGTTTCCAGCATGTTCCTCCTAGCCACTCTCATTTATATGGCTCTGAAATGCCACTGCAAGGCAAAGGAAACCATGGTGTGTGGTCCTGGCATGGCCACCCTGGTATGTGCCAGTGAAGTAGGCAGCTGGTCCTATTCCAATCGCCATAGCCACATCCTGGCAGGTATGAGCGCAGATGCTGGTGCCAAGAGTGACCTTATGATTTTCAGTCCCAATATTCCTGTTTCTGCAGATAACGTGGACCATAGAAATGGGAGTGAACTACTTCCAGACACATCCAAAGAGGTAAGTTATCCTGCTTGAAATTTATTTTCAGAATCCAGGAATAAAACAAAAATCAATGGAGAATAGCAATAGCACTTAGACTTATATACCGCTTTATAGTGCTTTATAGCCCTTTCAAAGCGGTTTACAGAGTCAGCATATTGTCCCCAACAGTTTGTGTCCTCGTTTTACCCACCTCAGAAGGATGGAAGGCTGAGTCAACCTTGAGGCTGGTGGGATTCGATCTGCCAAATTGCTGTGGGAGTAGCTTTCAGTACTGCATTCTAATCACTGCGCCACCAAGGCTCATATAATACATGTTTGATATATAACATATGTTTGATATATTTACAGTTTGTTAAGTTGCCCAGATTTCAGAAGTATTGCTGAAAGCAGGTCTGAAAACAATAATCATCTTTAAGTTTCACTGAAAGTTTCAACTTACTTACATACAAGATATGATGCTATATTGTAGAACTTAAAAATCTATTCCAAATAAAGCTGTGTTTCTGTATGAATGGAAGGAGACATATTTCTAATAAGCTGTTTCAATTCCCAGCTTGCATTCTAGCTGTTAGTGAAAAGATCTTAAATAGATATGCCTACATAAGGATACCTATAGATGGATCTTGGTTGGCATTGTAAGGAATATTTAAAAATAATATATTATTTCTGGGAAGTTAGCACTGTAAATATGTTATTTATTTATTTTCAACCCTGACATATTGCCTGCAGAACTGTCGAGCTATATGATTTCTTTTTTTAATTTAAAACTTAATTCTGCCATTATGTGAAAGGAATAATCAATAATCAAGGGGAAAAACAGGCCCAGAAAACTACAGGCCAATCAGCCTAACATCAATAGCCCAACATCTAGAAACAAGTAAAGCAGAGATGGTATTCAGCAGGTTCTGACCAGTTCTGGACAACTGATAGCGGGTATTTTGAGTTCTTCGGAGAAGCGGCAATTACCATCTCTGACTGGAGATTTTTCAGTATCCTTCCCCTGCCACGCCAACCAAGTCATGCTGACAGAACCGGTAGTAAAAAAATTTGAATCCCACCACTGAAGTAAAATAATAACTAGAGTCAGCACAGGTTTATTAAAAACAGATCATGCCAAACCAATCTTATTTCATTCTTCAACATAGTGACTAAATTTGTAGACCAGCGAAATACTGTGGACATAATATACTTAGATTTCAGCAAGGCATTCGACAAAGTAGACCACAGCCTACTTCTTGGTAAGCTAGAAAAAAAGTAGGATAGATAGCATCATCACCAGATGGATTCACAACTGGCTGACAAAGCATACTCAATGAGTAGTCCTTAATGGGTCTAAGTCTACATGGAGGGAAGTAATTAGTGGGGTGCCATAAGGTTCCACTGTAGGCCCAGTACTGTTCAATATTTTCATTAACAATTTAGATGAGGGAATAGAAGGGGAATTTACTACATTTGCAGATGATACTAAGTTGGCAGGAATAGCTAACACCCAAGAAGATACGCTCAAGATCCAGATGGATCTTGACAGGCTCGAACACTGGGCCCTATCTAACAAAATGAAATTCAATGTAGAGAAAAGTAAAGTCCTACACTTAGGCAAGAAAAACCCAAAGTATACATATAGACTGGATGAAACCAGGCTTAATAGCAGTAACTGTGAGAGGGAGCTTGGAGTCTTAGTGAACAACCGCTAAATATGAGCCAGCAGTGTGCAGCAGCAACCAAAAAAGCTAATGCAATCCTAAATTGCATTAACAGAGGGATACAATCAAGATCAAGTGAGGTACTAACACCACTCTAAAAATCCTTAGTAAGATCACACCCAGAGTACTGCATCTAATTTTGGTCACCACACTATAAAAAAAAATGTTGAGGCTCTAGAAAAAGAGCAGAGAAGAGCAACCAGGATGATTAGAGGACTGGAGACTAAAACATATGAAGAATGGTTACAGGAACTGGGCTTGGCTAGTCTAGTAAAGAGAAGGACCAGGGGAGACATGATAGCAGTGTTCCCATATTTGAGGCCTGCCACAGAGTGGAAGGGGTCAAGCTATTTTCCAAAGCACCTGTAGGCCAGACAAGGAATAATGGATGAAAACTGAACAAGGAGAGATTTAACCTGGAAATAAGGAGAAACTTTCTGACGAGAACAATCAACCAATGGAACAGCTTTCCCTCGGAAGTTGTGGGAATATCATCACTTGAGACTTACAACAAGAGATTGGACTGCCATTTGTCAGAAATGGTGTAGGGTCTCCTGCTTAGGCGGGGGGGTGGACTAGATGACCTACAAGGTCCCTTCCAACTCTGATTATCTGTAAGCAATTATTTGCTTCATCTATAAAACCTTATTTCCTTTATCCAGTACAGTTTTTATCTGCATTAATTCTGTCTTTTTAAAAGAGTGTAAATCGGGAAAAACAACTTTTAAATACATATGTGACTCTATTCAATTTCTTTCTGTGTAATTTTCTTACAATCTGTTGTGAGTTAGTTATCTATATATTTATTTTTTCAATTCCAACTATTTATATGCTCTTGAATGAGTGGAATGGCTTTTATTTTATTTCTCTTCTTAACTTCAGATCCAAAATTTATCACTACAGAGCAGTAATTTAAACAAAGACAGACAAAAAGAAATAACCCCGTAAACTCATGGAGGAACCAGTTCCTAAATTTGGCATATCACCAAGTTAAAGTTCCTACACTTAGTTCCTAGGAAAGAATTTAACAAAAGCATCAGATACATTTCACCTAGATAAGAACTTAATTGTAGACAATAATAACAATCTTTAAAACTGTGCAGTTAACTGTTGCTAGATATTTATATAACTTCAACTCAGCCCTGAGAAATGCTGGAATGTGGCTTACTTTTCACATGAAGGATGGTACAGTACAGTATCACCAAGTTTGAATGTGCGTCTATTATTTTTCAATTTTTTTGTTAATGATCTGAGCAAGGAGGTGAAAGAAAACAATAAAATTTATAGATGATTCAGGTGAATATTAGAGGGCAAAACCTTATCAGTTTAAAGGTGAACATAAGATAGTAGTGTATCATAACAAAAAGAGTAATATAATTTTAAACTGCAACAATGTAAGTTTAGTTTTCAAGTTATGAGGAGCAGTAATATCACTTTATTCTGCATTGGTCAGAGCCCCTTCAAGTACTACCGTATGTCCAGTTCTGTACAAACATTTATTAAATTTGTGCAAATAAGATAAATGAGAATTATCAAGAGTCTTGAAAGAAGGTTTTAGGAGGAAAGATTAAAGAATGTGGGTAAAGTTTAACCTTAAGGAGGTTTAAGTTTTCCTATAGCTCAAGACCATAGCATATTCCAATTTCCACACATAATTTGAGCCAAGCATTTGGTTTAAAAAATTGTCAGCTGCTAAAACTAATTATTCACCTGCTATTAAAAAAAAAAAATCTTGACAGCAGATTTAGATATAGTAGCTTAGTATACTTTCTGTCAGTATGTTTATGGGTGCTCCAGATCCTATTACAGTGGAGCACATCTCCTTGTTATTTGAAATGATGTTACCGTCTACTATTTAGTTGTGTTTTTTTAGTTCTGTTTGCAAACATTACTTTGCTTTTTTAGAAATTAATAGCTAGTCTGTGTTGTCTGCAATAGGTTTACAATACTTTTTAAAGATGTATTGGGGTGGAGATGACATCATCTACATATAGAAGTTGCAAAATGTTTTTTCTTTGCCTATAATAGTGAATGGTAGTCAGGAGTTGATATAAAAATTAAGCAATAAGGGTCCCAAAATATATGCTTGCATAACCTTTTAATTTGATGAAATTGATCTTGAAAGAAACCCCTGTAGGTTATATTTCACTTTAAGGTTGCATTTGTATGCAATTTCTGTCTTAAAAAGAATAAGTCACTTGTGGTATCTGTGTTTTTCCTATAAAATATCTCTAGAGATTGAATCAAATTTGAATTTGAAACTGGGGAAGGTTATGTAAAAACACTTATCTGAATATACATCTACAAGTTAATTTTTTTAAATAAAAAAACATTTCCCCCTCAAAATAGTATACAACTAATATATTGCTTGAATGTTCCTATTTAAATCTTGCTGGTTCCTCCCCAAGTGTACATTTTAAAATTCCAGTCAATCTGATAATATGTGGCTCAGATGTTTTGCACATAGTTTATTAACTATGACACCTGGAAAGCAGGCGTTCTTGGTGTGGATGCTATTTTGGGGGTTGTTTTGCTTAAGCCTGGGCTTCTAAGGAAAGCCCAGAGAATGAAGGTGGGTTCTGAGGGCTGAGAGGCCAGACAGGAAGACTTGCCTCTGCTCAGGCTTAAGTGGCTTTGCTTCTCTTTTGTTTCTGTCTGGTTTTTGTCATTCGTCAACATTTTTTTTTCTTTTTACTTTTGCCTTACTGTATTTTTTTGCTTGTTTTAATGTATTTACTTGTGAGCCACCCAGAATCTTGAGAGTAGGGTAACATAACAAAGTTAATAAAACAATACATTATACTTAGGAGGCTAAGTGGGTGGTAGTTAGAAATTCCTATTTCTATCTTTTTTGTACATTGATATTACAAAGGTTCTACCCAAAACCTTGGGAATGCATGAGTGGGAAAAGAGATATGACCAGGTCAGGCCATAATTCAGAATTATTATTTAGTTCAGATAATCTATTCTGCTTTCCAAATGAAGAGCATACATTTATACAGCAGTGGAAAAATATACACTGAGATGTATTTAAAAAGCTACTCATTATTTCTGCTGATTAGTTAAGCTGTTAGCACCTATTTGGGGGCAGCTGTCACCTACTATAAACTTAACCCTAAACCTCTTGTGCAGAGGTGGTATTCAGGAGATTGTGACCAGTTCTGGAGAACCGGTAGCGGAAATTTTAAGGAGTTCAAAGAACCAGCAAATCCCACCTCTGAGGAGATTTTACAGTATACTTCCCCTGCTACGCCCACCAAGCCACGCCCACAGAACTGGTAGTAAAAAAATTTGAATCCCACCACTGCTCTTGTGTATTTTTGCTGGGAAAACTTATTAATGCAGCAGCATCAAAAGTACAATTAGTGAAGCAACTTTTATTTCTTGAGGCTAGGTAGGAAGCCAGATAAAGACATGCTAGTTTATTCAGTGGCACAGAGCTGGTGTGCTCATGCAAGTTCCAAAACATTTCTTCCCAATATATATTTATGCACTGTGCATATGCTCAAATGGATTGCAGTATACGTCAGCCTATTGGATAGGCTAACATATATATTGGATAATATATAAGATGAGATATCCAGGTAATATTTGTCACATTTCTAAGTACTACGGTAAGTAAGAAGGAAATGAATACATATGCATAGACAAGTCTCCTGATCATTTTTTAAACTTCTTGTAGAAACCTAAGACAAATTTGGATTTGGTACTACTAATACATTGTTCCTCATCTTGGTTGAAACTTTAGTTCAAATGTTTCAAGCCAGTCCAGTCAACTTCTAATAGCATCACAGTCACCTTGAGAAATGGAGAAGGGAACAAGAGAGGCAAACAAGTACATTTGCCATCGCTATATATAGACATGAAAATACATATCCAAAAATATATAAGGTAAATTAATATAATGTGTACACAGTGAAAGAAGAATAAATGCATGTATGAGATTTATAAATGAAGTCAAGCACTCCATGTAAAGGTGTATCTGAGAATGAAGATGGAATGAATATTAGAAATTTGTCAAGAATACAGAAGGAAATCTTTCTACAGTTTGAAATTTAGTCACAAGAGGTCACTGTTTGCTAAGGAAACCTTGTAAGTGAAACTGAAAATGCAGAGCTCCTCCCTTAAAGGGACCGACATTCCTGCCAGCCAGATCCACAATGGACTATTAAAACAAAAACAAAAACAAAAAAACAAAATAAGGACGCTCAACAAGCTAGGATTCAACCCATGAACGCATTGCCAGTATGTCTGAGGTAGATGGGCTCTGCTCCTGACACCTTTAAGTCAAGATATTTAGAGAAAAAGAGAAGAGCTTGCTGGTGTTGTGCCTGTGTCTGCAATGCCTACCTGGCTGAAGGGGCTGCTGCAGCTGCTTCTGCTCCACACCGCCTGGAAAATGGGGAGCGGCCAGCTCCATTATTCTGTGCTGGAGGAATCCCAGCATGGTGCCTTTGTGGGCCGCATCGCCCAGGATCTGGGGTTGGAGCTGAGCGAGCTGGTGCCTCGGATGTTCCGGATGATGTCCAAAGGAGAGAAAGGCTACTTTGAGGTAAACCTGCAGAATGGGATCTTGTTTGTAAATTCCCGGATAGACAGGGAGGAGCTGTGTGCCAAGAATGCAGACTGTGTCCTTCATCTGGAGGTGATTGTGGAGAAACCTCTGAGGTTCTTCCATGTGGAGGTTGAAATCAAAGACATTAACGACAATGCTCCCGTCTTCTCTGCCAGGGAACAGATCCTGAGCATGGTTGAACTCATAACATCTGGTACCCGATTCCCATTAGAGAGAGCATTTGATGCAGATATTGGTACTAATGCTCTGTTAACTTATGACCTTAGCCCAAGCAACCATTTTATTCTTGATACAGGAAATGATGAAGATGAGAGTAAATCTGTAGTACTTCTATTGAAGGTGCCACTTGACAGAGAGGAGAGCCCTGTGCATCATTTAGTATTGACAGCCACTGATGGGGGTGAACCAAAACTCACAGGAACTGTTCAGCTAGTCATCAATGTGCTGGATGTGAATGACAACCCTCCTGTCTTTAACCAATCTGTTTATAGGGTAAAGTTGCTAGAAAATACAGCTAGCGGGTCATTAGTCATTACTCTGAATGCAACAGACTTAGATGAGGGAATTAATAGAGAAATTTATTATTATTTTAGTAATAGCCTACCTCAACATGTCAGAAATACGTTTAGTATAAATTCTGATACTGGGGAAATCAGAGTAGTTGGAAAGTTGGATTATGAAGATATTAATTTCTATGAACTTCCAGTTGTAGCAGAAGATAAGGGTACTTTATCTGGACATTGTAAAATTTTCATTCAAGTGTTGGACATGAATGACAACATTCCAGAATTATCTGTGAATTCTCTCTCTGTGCCATTGCCAGAGGATTCCCCTCCAGGGACTGTGGTAGCCATCATCAGCGCTGCTGACAAGGATTCTGCCAACAATGGACAAATAAACTGTTTCCTCTGGCCCATTGGAATACCCTTCAAACTTGAGTTCACATTCAAGAATTACTATTCCCTGATTATTGATGCACCACTAGATCGAGAGCAGGTGACTGAGTACAAGATGATTGTGACAGTGGAAGATCAAGGTGTTCCACCACTGTCTTCCAGTCTCACCCTCTTAGTACCTATCAGTGACATAAATGACAATGCTCCAGCTTTCCCACAGTCCTCCTACACAGTCTTTGTGAAGGAGAACAATCCCCCTGGTGCTCACATCTTCACAGTATCTGCCTCGGACCCAGACATAGCTGAGAATGCTCTGATCACTTACTGGATAGATGAGAATCTCTGGCCATTGTCAAGCTTCATCTCTGTACATTCGGAGAGTGGAAAGCTCTATGCTTTGCAGTCCTTGGACTATGAGGAGTTGAAACTGCTGGAGTTCCAGGTGAGAGCCAAGGATGCTGGAATGCCCTCCTTGTGTGGCAACACGACTGTTCAAGTCTTTGTGATGGATGAGAATGACAATGCACCTTCTGTATCAAGATCATCAGAAGAGAACCTGATTCTTCTAGTGGTCCCTGTGTTGCCTGGGCATATTGTAGGCAAGATCCACGCCTTGGATGCAGATTCTGGATACAATGCATGGCTAAGCTATGAACTGTTTGAAGAAAGCAATAGTCCATGGACTGTAGGGCAGTTTAGTGGTGAGGTGAGTACCAAATATTCTCTGGATGAGTCAGAAGTAAGCAAAATCCAGAGTGTGTTGGTTCTTGTGAAGGATCATGGGAAGCCTCAGCTCTCAGCTACAGCGACCCTGAGTGTGTCATTGGTGACAAATTCCCAGGCCATCAAGACAGATATTCATGTCCACCAATCAGGGGAGAGCTTTGTTCCCCTAGTGGACTCGATCAATGTCTATCTGATCATTGCCATCTGCTCAGTTTCCAGCCTCTTTTTGATGGCTATTCTCATCTATGTGGCCTTGCGATGCCACTGCAAAGCAAAGGAATCCATGGTGTATGGCCCTGGCATGGCTGCCCTGTTTTGTACCAATGAAGTGGGAAGTTGGTCCTATTTCAATCGCCACAGCCATATTCTGGCAGAAGTGAATACAGAGGGTGGTGCCAAGAGTGACCTCATGGTTTTCAGTCCCAACACTCCTGTTTTTGCAAATAATGGAGAACTTCAAAATGTTACAGGACTGCCTCCAAATGGATCTAAAGAGGTGAGTTTTGGTCCTTTTATTAGTATTTGACATTCAGTGCATGTTCTATTTCTCTGATATTGATTTTGAATCAATACTTATACAATTTTTTTCTCATAATTAAGTCTTAGATTTGTAACAGATAGCTTTTAAATACATTAATAACTAAAAGATAGTATTCTACAGGGTTTATCATTTCTTTTTAGATTACACAGCATTTGTGAATGAGTTGCAATTGGGAGTACAGCAATTATTTGATTTGTTTGTTAATATTAGAATCAGACTAGAGCTGGAAGGGACCTTGGAGGTCTTGTAGTCCAATCCCTTGCTCAAGCAGGAGACCTTATACCATTTCAGACAAATGGCTGTCCAGCCTCTTCTTAAAAACCTCCAGTGATGAAGCACCCACAACTTCTGGAGGCAAGCTGTTCCACTTGTTGATTGTCCTCACTATTTGGAAGTTTCTCCTCAATTCCAGGTTGCTTCTCCTTGATTAGTTTCCATCTATTTTTTCTTGTCCTGCCCTCTGGTGCTTTGGAAAATAAATTGACCCCCTCCTCTTTGTGACAGCCCCTCAAATACTGGAATACTGCTATCATGTCCCTCCCAAGTTCTTCTTTATCATTAATAAAAAGTAATAATTTGATTAATACATTATTAATAATCAAATTTATCATTGCTCTTAATTTATTAATAAATTAATAAATATAATTACTCTAGGTACTGGTTCAGGTGACAGAGGTATCTTAGAACTATAGAATTGTAAAGTTGGATCGGCTAATTCAGGTCATCAAATCCTCCCTCCTTCATTCAGTGCAGAAATCCAAAGTAAATCATGATTTACCCAGATGGCTTTCTGAAATACAGTGGTACCTTGGTACTCAAATGCTTTGAAACTCATCAAATTTGGTAGTCAATACATTTTGATATAAACATTTTGTGCTGGTACTCATAGTTTATTTGGTACTCAACACACAGGCTAGAACTTGTTGTTGTCAGTTGCCTTATGACTCACTATGTTATTCCTACTAAAAATTGTTTGTATTCATTGTTTTTGGTACTCATTGCGCCTCCTGGAATCAATTAACAATGAGTACTGAGGTACCACTGTACGTCCATATTTTTGTATATCTTATAAAGAGAAAGCTATTTAAATTATTGCGATATAATTGTTGTCTTCAGTTTGAGAGCTTTATTAGTGAGATTTTTTTTTCACCCTAGATCAGGCCTGTTAAACTGGCAGGCCATGCCCACCCTGGCTCCGCAAACAAAAAAATGTCACAATACGTCATGATCCGACTCGTGATGTAATCAGGTTTGACACCACTGCCCTAGATCCTCAGATCTTATTTCTGGATTCTTTTTTTAATCTGATAGTTCAAGAATTCAATTTGTCTCTATCAAAAAGTAGTTTATATTTTGAACAGGTACAGTTTACTAAACTTTCAAATCATAAGTGATTACTAACAATGCATTTTCTTTTTCAAGATATGGTGCATGGCAATGATGTCTTCTATATTATTCACTTTTTAACCTTGAAAACATTCAATTTCCTTATGCTATCTTAAATTTCAAATACAATATAGTATCTTAGTGCAGGAAATAAAAGTATAAGATACTTATGCACCTTTATGTTGCTTTGTATTTCATACATAAAGTAGAAGGTTCCGTACCTAACCTTACTTTTTAATACTAATTTGACATTAATTGGGAGAAATCTGCATTAATGTTATTGGGTCCTAATAATAATTCTGATAAATTTATAATGTATCATTTTGGGTTGTGTTTTGATTTTAAACATGTTCAGTGCAGTGATTCCTACAAAATTTCTTGTCAGGAGACATTTAAATTTAGTTTCACTTTTGGTAGAAATGCAACAAACAGCAGTTTCATTTGAATGTTTGCAACAAGACATTCTTAAACTACTTATGCTGCCTTGATATTAAATCGACTTAACAAAATCCAGTCTCTGAGGCCTTTGGCAACATTTTGCAAGGACTTCAATCTGGAAAGCAGACTACCATATTCTCCACCTGGAGGATTTCTGTTCTATGTTTGAGATCTGCTAGCAGCTCTTACTGGATATTTCCCATGAATGAAAAAATGATGATACAATGCATCAGTGTCAAAGCAAAAGAGAACAGAAAAGAACCCAGCAGGTTAGTTGGTAGCTAGGGAATCAAAAATAGTAATTAAAAAAAAACTGCCAAGTGATTGAAGTGATGATGAAGTGATGCACCAGTGAACTTAAAAAAAGAAAAATGACCAGCCCAAAAGTGGATAGTAAGAAAAGAAAAAAAAATCTATTGAGTTTTGAAATGGGGACATTCTGCATATGAGTGTAATAACTAATAAGCTAGTAAGAAACGTCCCATTATAAATGAATAAAAAATGGAGCTTAGTAAGGAAAGGAGGGAAAATGCAATGATGGGTATTCCTAGCCCTGCAAAAGAGTGAAAGGGTTGGCCTAAAAGAAAAAAAAAGTAATCCAGGCAAACTGGCTGGCAGCCCGCAAGCTGACAAAAGCAGACAAATACTGCTTTGAAACACAGAACAGCAGATCACATCTGCATGGGTAGAGGTTGAGTAAAAGGCGACATAGTCCATTCTTGTCCATTCTTATTCTAGGGTAGTAGCTTTCTCTCCTCTTCTTTTTATTACATGAACATTCCTTCCAGTTCCTCATCTTAGTTATTTATATTTAAAAAATGAAAAGTACAAGCTTGCTATGCAGAACTTCAATAAAAACAGCCCTTAAATTTAATGAGGAATCATTGACAAATAATATTTGAATATGATTTTCAAGCCAGGGAATTGTCAAGCCATCCTTATCAAGCCAGGTAATCAGAATGCCATAGGATGCTTTGTCAACTAATTTGGTGAAATAAAGGCATACAGAGAAAAATATGTTTGGAAAACAACTGACCTAGCCAGCGGTGGGACTCAATTTTTTCTACTACTGGTTTTGTGGCCGTGGCTTGGTGGACATGGCAAGGGGTGGTATTTGCCAGTTCTCTGAACTACTCAAAATTTCTGCTACCGGTTCTTCAGAAGTGGTCAGAACCTGCTGAATACCACATCTGGATCAAACCGCAAGCATAAACCCCAAGACAAAGGAATGGAGTGGTAAGAGGGAAGGGGAATTCAGGCATAAAACAGGAGACATAGGAAGCAAATGCAAGGTCAGCTCTAAAGGGTTCAGATTCCTATACACTAATGTTCAGAGTTTGGAAAAAAAGAATTCTGCGAATTTACAAGACAAATGACATAGGGAACAAAGCTGTTACAGAATCTAGTAGTCCTACTATAAATACTTTGAAGGGGAGCAACAGAATCAGACCATGTAGTGGGTGTGTGGGGTCTCTTAGAATGCTTTGAGCTTTAAGCATATAGCTCTTATAAGCAGTATCCTTGAATAATGGGAAGTTAATTTTCTATGATCTTCTCAGCTGTCCTTACCACTATCTGTATGGACCTTCTATCTGAGGCACTGCTGCCACCAAACAAAACAGTGTTAAAATGTGTTTTTTTAAAAAATAAATTGTATTAATTTATTTTTATTAATTACATTTCTTAGTGCTTAATAAACATTGTGTTGGCTGGGTATTTGTTTAACAATATAGAATTCCATTCTTACTCTCCACCCCATTTTTCCAACCACTGGTAAAATAAGTTCCGTGTTTGATAATATTCTGTGTCTTCTTTTTGTTTGATTTTTGTAAATCTATCCATTTCTGCACAATCTAATATCTTCTTAATTATCTCTTCATTTTGCAATGTTTCTTCATTTTTCCAATATTGTGCGAAGATAATCCTTGCTGCTGTTAAGACATGTAATACTAAATACATACTGTTCTTATCAATTTTTTCTGATATCTCTAATAAAAATAGTTCAGGTTTAAAATATACATGTTTCCCTATTATCTTTTCTAGCCATCTGTGCATTTTTGCCCAAATTTTGTTCGTTTTAGCACAAGTCCACCACGTATGATAAAATGTGCCTGTTTTTTATTACATTTCCAACATTTGCTAGACATATTTTTAAACATTTTAGCTAACCTAGCAGGTGGTAAATGCCATCTATAAAACATTTTATATAAATTTTCTTTATAAGAAGTTGCCGTTATAGTTCTTTTCCCATAAATGTTGCCATTTCTCTAATTCTATGTTATAGCCAAAGTTTTTTCCCATTGTACCATTGTGTCTTTTATTTCTTCATCCTCCATTTTAAAATTTAGTAAGATGTTATATACCTTCTTAATTGGTTTTTCATCAGAGATCAACAGTGTCTTATCAACAAGTATTTGTCCTTTATAAAAGCCATACTTTTCCATCTCTATATCATATCTAGATTGTATTTGCAATTGAGGCCATCATGATAGTGTAATGTCCTGATCTTCAAGCTCTTACTTCAATTTTAATCTTCCTTCAGTGTCCAAAATATCTTTATATGTCACAATTTTTTCAAATTTCATCAGATTTGGGTATGTAAAAGCTTCCATCATTGAGAGACAATCTGGAATTTTCAAGTATATTTTAGGTTTTATTTTTTCCCATACAGATATTAGTGAGTTTCTTATATAGTGATTTTCAAAGTATCTATGGATTTTATTCTTCTCATACCATAGGAAGGAATGCCATCCTAGTTGTAAATCATATCCTTCTAAGTATAACGATGTCCTGTGCCTAAGGGTTATCCATTCTTTAAACCAGTGGCCCCCAACCTTTTTTGTGCCACAGCCCGGTACCGGCATCACAAAATGATCCACAGCCCGGTACTGGCATCAGCACGCATGACAAGGCAAGGCAAGCCGAGCGACCGGCCAGCCAGCTGTCCCCCGCTTCTCCCTGCCACCTTCAACTCCTCCTTTGTACCTTTGTCGATGGGCTTCGCTTCGGGACGGCTTCGGGACGGCTTCAGGACGGTCGCTCGGCTCGCCTTGCCTTGAGTGCTGAAAGAATCCTCGCACCTTAGTTTCGTTTGAAGCCCCCCCTTCAATGAAACTAAGGCGCGAGGATTC